GCCTCTCAGAATTAAAAGTTTCTTAAATTCAATTAAACCACCAATAGTATTTCTCTTCCAAATTTCTACACAAATCCTCTCTGATTTGCTTTGGCTACATTCTTTGGCTGAACCCTCTTGACCAAGGTTATATGACTCCTAATAGTATTCTGCCATGGCAAATTCCCAAATACACAAGCCAGACACTTGGATTCCCTAAGATTTTCCTACCAGCTACCTGAACCACTATTAATACAATGAGTTAATTCCATTTTAATTTCTCACACAATTTTGGCCTATTTTCTACAGAGAATTACCCATCCTATCAGCAAGAAAAATAGTATTTTAAAAATTTTAATTGAATTATTTGAATTATTTTTTTTATTTTCTTAACAGGAGTTTTAGGTATGTGCAATATTAAAACAAACAAAAACACCAAATGACTGAAGTAGTTTGGAAAGGCCAAGGAATTGTAAAGTTCAAGGTATCCTCTTCAAACATAATGTGTAGGGCTCACAGGACTTCTTCTTCATAACTACTTTGTAATTTGGTCTGGAACTCTGGTATGTCCCTGACATTCAGGGACACACATATGAGAGCAAGAGGTCATAGGACTTCATCATGCTCTTGGGTCTACACAAAATCTATATTTTGATATACATGTGACAGCCAATTACAGCACTCCATTTTCTATTTCATACCAGCACTGCTCTGATTCCTCTTCAAGACAGTTTAACTCACCAGTGATTACTCAGATATCTTCAACAGAGCCATATAGTCCATGAATATTCCCCAAGAACACGGCAAACTAATCTAAGTCTGAAAACCAGAACATTTGCCCAAAATAAAAAAAAATCAAGAAAAAATAACCAGCACCTTTTCTTCCAGCTTTTACCAGTAAAAGTAAAGCTTCACAAACATGCTATTTTATGGCTCTAGAAACAGCTAAATCATAGGCAGATCAAAGTGGCTGTCTATATGAACACAATGTACAAAATTCAGGAGGAGTTTAAATGTCTTCACTGTAAATCACAATCAGTAGATTGTGACTACCAGTAGACACAGATGAAAACAAGACCATTATGATATGTCGTTTTCAACTTCTGTAGTTATTGTCCAAATCTATTCAAAGTGGAGAGTTTGAGGGAAAAGTGTTGACTATGCTACTATTAGCAATACTGCAAATACATTTATTCCCAGACAACTGAACTATCTCAAATGTTGTTTTGAATGCTTAAGCACGAGAACTATAGCAAACACTTATGGCAAATCAACTCAAAACAAGTAAAGAAGACATGCTCCTGACAACTGCTTAAATTCAGTAGAGACAAAATGAAAAAAAGAGAGAAAAACCACATCCAGAACTCCATAAGACACAACGGAAGTTTAGCTTTATTTTACACTGTTGTTTTCACGGTACTACAATTAATTTATTAAAGTGTGCTGTGTACATCCAAAGTATACTGCATTTTACTCTACATTGAACAAAGAACTTCTTAAATAAAAACTAATGTACTATTATTCCCTCCAGAAAACAAACTTCAGTGTCCCTACCTTGCTGTCAGGAAGCGAGAAGTTGTTTAGATATAATACTCTCTACAGCTAAACACAGTTGAATGAATTCACATTACATTGACATCAAACATGCCCAACCATCTAAACTGCTTTAACCGGGAGTCCCAAAAAGAATGTCTGAGTTACTATAAACGTCTATGTAAAATAAAGTTAAACAGAACTGAAGTTAAAATTAACATCACAGAAACCTAACACAATTTTCTCTGCAGAAGTATCTAAATCAAGAAATAAAAAACACTTCAAAATAATGTTATGAGAAGAATCTGCAGGTATTGCTTTTTCTTACCATTCCATCTTAGTGTGATCTCACAATTGAGAAGTTCTCACTAACATGATTTTCAACAATATCTTTCACCACTATATCAAAGAGGTTGTTTATCCTCCATGAATTTAGTTCCAGAATTTTTAAAAGTTAGGACTGTCCCAACATTCCCCTTATTTTAAATCATTCAAATTGGTAAGAGGCTATCATGTCCATAGAGTAAAAGAGCAGAGCACAAGGCCTTTGGCTTTATTCCTCTAGCACTACAAGATGAAAAAAGGACATTAGAAGAAGGAATGTGAAGAAGGTATGATAAAGTCATCAGGGTCAGATCAAAGCAGCTTTATAAGCTTTTATCTTTCTAAATGAGCTCAGCTTTTAACATTTATTTTGCAAGGTGTAATTCTAGCCTGACTAAAGGGAGAAATTGAGAGCAGCTGTTCAGGCGTACATACATAGATTTCTCTATATTCTTGGTAAGTCAATAACGCTGCTTGCATTCTGTTAGTCAAACAGTGGCGTGCCAGATCATGAGCTAGTTAACCATTGCAGCCTCACAGGTGATAATACTACGCTTCTCACGCCTGTACAGACAAAGGTTAAAAGAAGTGTTGTCAAACAACATGAACACTGCACAACCAGTGCTACATGGGAAGATGAATGAAGCATAAAAATAATGCATATGGTGGGTAGAAAACTGATTTAACACATCAAATAACGAGATTTAAGGCATGGGAAAATAAAATCTTCATCCAATGCAGCATATTAGGGTGACATACAAAGCCCCCAAGAAATGCAGAGTACTGATATAAGATTTGCAGTATTTGAGGTGTGTTTAATACTTTCCCAAACCCTAGAAAGAGCCATTCAGTAAGCAAAGCTGGATGACACTTTTGCCCCCTTTTTCTTCACTCTATGCCACTTCAGAGGATAGAGATTTCAAGTTAAATAAGATTATCAAAGAGCAGCACTCAGCAGTGCTCATTATGAATTGTAAAAGTAATTAAAACATTTGGAAAAGCAAGCAAGGAACAATACATAAACAGACTATGTAAATGTAAACGAATATGTCACCAAATAAATCCACAGAGTGATGGATCTATTCTGAAGACTGTATATGGTTCTAGCAGACTGTACCAAAAGAATATGGCTCCCCAAAATACAAAAAAAAAGGCCAAAGAAGAGAAAAAAAACAATGAAAAGGAAGATTGAGTTGTTTAAGATTGTTTGGGATGGAGACAACCTGCTGGAAGAGATATAAGAGTCAAAATCAGGAATGGAACCAACTTAATCAGTGGGGAATGGTAATTCAACTGTGTCTCTGTAATATAAGACAAAAAAAAAAAACCAACAAAACAGAACAAGGCATGGGATTCCTTACAAGAGTCTACTGGAATTCAAAAAAGAACTAACAAATTTGCTGAAAGAAATAGCCACCAAGGACTTAAAGGTGACACTTCTGCCTCATGAAGACCCTCAACTGCAAATTTTTTAAAACAGGCCGTATGCTCTGGGGGTAAGAACACATGCCTGGCTAATCAGTTCCCTTCTCCAGCACACATGCTGAGCCACTGGGACAGGGCTGCAAAAATTCAGAGAAATGGCTTTGATAAAACTGCCAATAGACAGTCATACATTATGACTAATGACTCCAGTTCACTGATTTACCATAGTCCCTTTGCTGCACAACAATGGACAGCAAAGCCATTAGTCTGTTTTATAGCCCAAATCACACTTTTGTCATTTCACTGTGCTATCTGCACTGCAAACCTGCTATACAGCACTTTCTACTTCAATGTCAGTTATTTTAAGGTTAAAGTAGGTATTTAATATACCTCAATATACTTCAAGACTTTAAAGCCTAAGATCTGTATGCAGAATCTGCTTGATATCTGCTTGATAATTTAAGATGACAGACAAATGAAAATAAGACTTTTGAAGGAAAATGGTTGAAGCCCCTCTGTCACTGTAATGATGGCTTACAAGTTTGAATGGAATATATATGAACTCTCCTAAAAACAGACTGGAAAAGAGCTTCTTCACATGCCAGCAATATACTCATTTAATAAGATAATAAACAATATTGTTTTAGGGGCATATCAGTATAAAAAACCCCACAACCTCTACGAAAGAGTTGTTAACTTTATATGAATAATGAACGTGTGTTACTCAAAGAACAAAATCATCTCTTTTCTGAAAGGTTATTAAATCTAGATATAGACACACACAGAAGATGTGTAACATGCACAAGATTACCGGAAAAGTTGTCAATAGACCTAAGGTTTACATGAACTATGCTTTCCTATAATAATCATCCACATCATACAGTATTTCATACAGAAGCCAGTAAATTGCACAATATTGGTTTTACCAGCAGACAACTAGAAACACAAAAAAAGGAAATGTAGCCCACCTGCCTTCCTTCACAAAAACTGGCAGATCCCTGTTAGAATTATTTTTATCAACAGATAAAGGGCAGGCAGCAAAAAGTGCTAAGACAGACACTTTTCTGATAGGCGACACATGTGACAATAAATGAATCACAGCATCATTTAGTTCAGAAAAGAACTCTGAGATCAAGTCCAACCTATGACCAAACATCACCCTGTCAACTAGACCATGTCACTAAGGACCACATTCAGTCTTTCCTTACATAGCTCCAGGGATGATGTCTCCATCACCTCCTAGAGCATCCATTCAAATATCTCATCACCTTTTCCATGAAGAAATTCTTTCTGATATCCAACCTAAAACTCCCCTGCCACAGCTTAAGACTGTGTCCTCTTGTCCTGTCACTGGATGCCAGAGACAAGAGGCCAACCTGGCTGCACTCTCCTTTCAGGCGTTTATAAGGAGTGATAAGGTCCCACCTGAGCCTCCTCTTCTCCAGGCCGAACACCCCCAGCTCTCCCAGCCTGTCCTCGTAAGGCTCATGAAGTTATAGGCTGAAATTCCCAGCTTTGTGAGATTTCAGAATAGGAGAGAAGTTGAGACAAAGAATATACATAGCATCTCAACTTGTCAGCCAGAGACTCAAGCATTCTCCAAAACTCTCCATAAATTATATGTAATAAAGCAAAACATGCTTTATTAAATTAATACAGCAATTACACTTAAGAAGGTGATGAACCTGAACCTGCATCTTAACACCTTTGTGGGCACTTGTTTACAAGCACAATGGTGACAGTGAGCTTAACACAGGAAACTGAGCTCCTATGAAGAACCAAAGGTACACTGAATTTATTATGCCAAATATTTGACTCAATTACACTATTTCACAGCAACCACATTAATAATATATTCACCATTCTGCAAATATGAGAGAGTTCAAGTGTAACTATTCCCATTTGCTTCACCCTTTGGCATGAACATTATGAAAATTCTGTCTAAGAAAACCATGACCTAAATAAAATAAACTGGTTAGACAGAAAAACAGTTGCTTAGTAATTTTGGGTAAAATCAATCAATCCCTTGCAACAATTTTTTTTTAGCAGCAGGTGACAAAAATGCAAACCTCACGATGGATCTATGAAAGGTGATGAATTTTTGTAAAGCTTTTAAAGAAAACCGGGCTGGTAAAAACTTAAATTAAAATCAAGCACAGCTTTCAGCAAGGTCACCCACCTACTGACAAGATCTGAAATAATAAATAAAGAATAATTTAAATTCAATTATTGTCAAATTTATTTTTATGTAAAATGTTGCCTAGCTTGTATCTATGATATTAATTTTTATACAGAATTACTTTAATGCAGGCTGACAGAGTAAAACTAATTCTACCTGGAATGGAACTTGATCAACCTGAAAAAAAGTAAGTGCAAACTAGACCTCAAGTGACTTTTTACTGAAAAAACATATGATGTTGCCTAAGAGATGCAGCAAGAATGTATGTCACATATAAAGACTGATTTTAATAAATGTCAAAACATTTAAAGATATGTGCCTAGATACTTTAGGAGACCAAATTCCACCTTCAGCGATTTCAAAGTCTAAAATCACTAACAAAGCTAGTGCTTTGAAGAAGTCCACCTACATACATAAGCAATTACCATATAAATAACAGTCCAAAAGGCTTTCAAATCAGAGGAAACTCAATTTAACTCAGCAGGTCAAAACACTGCATATTAAGGCACAGGGCAAGAGAAAGCCCATTAGATTATTTCGGTAATTCATTACCAAACTACAACATTGAAAGGTCAAAAAAGCAGCGTGCTTGATTACAACGTTCTCAAATCAGTTTGCTGTAAAAATGCATTTCTAGAAGAGCAAAGTAGTCTAAACCATTTTAACAGAGGCAGAATCATGTCCCAGATTTTACACTACTGAAATCCTGGATATAAAATAATCACAAGATCAGTGCTTAAAGGGTCATCTTGAAAAGAAGGACAAACATGTGTGCTTTGTTTATAATGGAGGAGAGGAAGAACCACATTGTGGCAAGAGAGAATCACCAAAGCCTGACCAGAGGATGGAGAAATCACCCCACATCCTTCTCAATCCATCACACCCTCCTCAATGCCTTGGGGAGCAGCCTCCCCACAGAGTGTCATGGGCAGCCACACTCCAGTCAGCACAGAGGCAGTTGAGAGGGCAGGAAGTGGAGGAGTCCATGGCTTGGTGGGCTGTGTGACTTGGGATGGAGAACACACTTTACTGCCAGCCTACAGCTTAGCAGATTGAGTGGCCCTGCCATAAAGCTATGACATCCATACTGCCAGGAAGAGGTGTGTGAACTCACAATCCTGGAAGAGCAAGCACTGCTTGCAACCCACACAGCCCATGGAGCCTGGGCACCAATAACTGTATGCGGCAAGAAGGAGATCAGAACTTCTCGTGAAAAGTTATGAGAAGTGTTTAGATATTTGTAGATGTAATTTCTCTAATGGTCTGACACTCTGGTTTATCTGTTGTATTCTTCATATCAATACCAAGTATACAGTTTCCTGATTGCAGTTTGCATTGTATTAATAAGTCAGTAAATTGCATTTCGTAGTTTACACAATCTGAGCATTTTTTCCCTGCAACAGTCAGCAATATGAGTCTTTGAATATATCAATCTTTACATTAATTTCTATTGTTTCTTAGCAGCTATGCATAGCTAATACAGACCAAACAAGCTTTTTTGCAGGAAAAAAGAAAAAACCCAAAACATTTCCTCCAAGATTATTCATTATTCAGCTACATCCATTTAACTCAATAAGACACATCTTTCAACTAGACTTACACTGAGAAATGCAACCCAAAAGAGGCATTCAATACCTTTTTGAACTCTCCAAATTCATTCACCTCTGATGAAATTCAAGGTGGACCTCTCCATCAGTTGAGTCTTTCAAAATCTTATGCTAGCCTGTTTTCACAGCATGACATTACATTCAGCATAATCAGAAATCTCATACATAAGCATGTTAGTTAAAAAGAGTTCTAAAAGGAAAGGAAATATATATTGAAAATGACTAGACAGCAACCATGAAACTTCACACTGCAGAGAAACAGCTCATATACAAACAAACAAACTGGAACAGTTCAAAACACCTGCATTTTAACAACTTAATTCCAAGCTGGTTTTACAGCCTCAAGTTCTCAGGTTTGTTCAACACTGCTGAGTAAGGCAGCAAAATTTTTACCTCTAGGGAACTAAACACAAGGTCAGTCTCAGAAATACAGGTCTTGCCTCAGCAAGTTTACCTTAGCAAAACAGAAATACTTGTCCTCACTGTTTTGCCAGCACTGCCCACGCACAGTTACCATGGTTAAAAAAAATTGAGCCCATGCCACTCCTACTACTATTTTTCTCTTTTAACTATGAAAGCAAAGCCTCAGTCTGGCCAGATGGCTTCAGGTCTCCTGAATCAAAACGTCTCTGCCGTGAAGAACTACTTCATTATACACATAATATCAGAAGATAACATAACTTCTGCTTGTAGAAGAAGAACATATGATACTCAACAATACCTTTACCCAACTATCACCTTCACAAATGGAAGCTAGGCATTGTAAGCAAGGCAGACTGATGCACAACTCCCACCTCCCAGATCACACAAGGCTTTGTTTCTCACAGTCATCTACCTCAGAAGTGCCTGGCAGGAACAGAGTGAGTTTTAAAACTACATGAGAAAAAAAAAGAAAAAGAAAAATCATGACTCACAGGAACAAATGCAGATCTAAAGAAAGAGAGAGAAGTTGACCGTGTAGTTACAGAAGTTTTTGGTGGTTTGTCCTGTGTGGTCCATCTTACAATCAAAATAAAAACATCAGAAGAATAAATAAGCCCAAATTTAAACTGGCTTTGTATCTTCTGGTACAAGCACAGTGCTCAACCCCACCTAACATTCCATCAGGCAGTTTCTTTGAAACGCACAACTTTTAACAAAAAGCTGTTTAATAATTTCTCTGATGAAAAAATTTTAAATGGCTGAGACTTGAAAAACAACCCAACTCCGTTCTGAATTTCCTTTCTGCACTTCTAAAACTACAATCCTACAAACTCAGCTCTTTCAAAATCCTTCCAGAAAAAGCTACACCTGAATTTCTAACATGAAGACCAAAGGGCAAGGAGACAAAAATCATTCAAGACAGATGTAAGGAAGTATTTCCAAGTTTTACATCAGACTGGTAAAACTAAAGAAACAAACAGAAAGTGAGCAGCTACCATATACTAATACCAGTTTACACATCTGTATTTTGAAATAACAACTCGAGTAAAGAATTAGTTGGAAAACCCTGCAGAAAGTCATTTATATTGCACAAAAAGTGCAGTGTTTAATGATATGTTATACATATAACCACTTTTCAAATCCACAAGAAAAAAAAAAAAATAGGTGTAGAATCCATTAAAACATATCTGTAGTATGATTTACAGTTGGGGTATGAATTGCTCACCTATAAATCTTTTTCCTTCAGCTCTTTCCAACTAGTGCAACTGGCCCCCAGCAAACTTTTTATGAACATTCACCAAACAGTCTCAATGCCAGTGCTAGCTAAAAAAATCCAGCCAAACACAATCCATTTCTTCAAGGTCAAATATAGCTGTACAACAAAAATACAAAATACTTAAGGCTTTGAAATTCTAGGATTTGTGTGAGGTAAAACAAGTTGATGAGAGTCAAGATTTAGCTTTTTTGTGTTTGACACTATTCCAAGTATAAAAAACTCTCATTTCCTGAGGAATGTAATTAAGTTGTAGAATTCTTGTACCACAGTAGAACAACTTCAGTTAAGAGAACTATAAACAAAACTGAATGAATTATTTTTAAAAAGTAAATATAGTAGCATAAAGATTCATCAGCCTTTTTAAAACTGTTAGAAATACAATGATGCTAAATATTAAACAAGAATCAAATCCATTAGTGAATTGCATTTTCAGCCCTGAAACTTAAGAGAACTGCTCCTGCCAGTTGCAGTTTTCAGAACAGTTTTCAATGGAGGAAAAAACAAAACAAAACAATGAAAAGCAGAAACAAAAAGAAATATTTACTGTAAGGGAATTCCTAACAATCATTATACATGGCAAAACAGATTTATTGTTATGAACAAAGTTCTTTAAAATTAATTTCTTAAAAGTCTGAAATGGTCAGTAGCTATTCTGAAAAATAATTTTTTGCAATTCCTTCAAAATTCCCTGTTTTATCACCTCATTAGAGAGACAAGTCAAAGAATCTGTGGTATGCCACTGAAATGTACAATTTACATACCAAAAGATTAGTTTCTAAAGTGTCTTTAGAAGGCTACTAAAACATAACTTTTGATCAAATTCAATTAGGCTTTTTAAAATTCTGGCACACACAAAAATAAAACCAACTGAATACAAAAATAAAGCTTAGATTTTTGTTCTGGTAAATTCTGATTCTGAAATTCCATCTGAGCCAACGGACTTCTCTTTTGTTAAGTAAAAAGGATAACATGATAACCATATGACTATTCCAAACACATGGGAAATGTTACATAATGGATTGCTGAAACAGGAAAACTAGAGTCACCCATTCATCAGAAGTTTAAATGTTTTCAGAGTACAACTGAACAATCTACAAGCTACCCACATCATTTATTTCTGAGAGGTCAATGTGATTGTTTGTTCTATTTTCGATTGTCTTAGCACTAAGTATTCAATAAAGAAAACATGTTGAAGAGAGTGAACGTACACTGTACACAATAAAATGCAGTATAGGCAACATACCCACAGGAAATGCTGATGGGAAACAAATTGCCTAATTCTTGGAATTTTGTAACTACCTCTGCAAACATACTATCAAGCCAGTAAGACAGACTGGCTAAGTAAGTCCATCAATGATACTCTCTTGGTTACACCAACAGGGTTGCCTCTACACTCGTTCATATTCATTACACCCAGATTTTGTTGTACTAAGTTATTCAGTAACCTCCTCATATAAAGGAACATACTCAACTCAGAGGATACACAAATTTTGCACCCCATGTTAAATTTCTAACTTCTTCTATCTGATAAAATATCACACTCTACACTTCAGGGACTTCTTTTTCTGTTCGACATTTATTAAAAAATTTGGAAGATCTTGACAGGGCTTTATGGCAACAGTTATGTTAGTATAATATGTTAGTATTGCAATGCTGTGGACTTGCAAAAAAATGAGTAAATAAAGATTGATAGCACATAATAGGAGAGAGCATTACTGGAGAAAACTTAGTTTTGAAAAACTTCCAGTCCTTCCTGGCTGGAAAAGTGGCCCCACATAATAAATAAAAACAGTGTCTTCCTTTAATGCAACACCACATAGCACGCTTCTGATGTGCCTTATTTTTTTAATTTTGTTGGCTGCAATTCCAACAGGCAACTGAAAATCAAGATTATTTAATAGCTGAAAAAGGATGACCTACCATAACACCTTAATGTTAAATACTACTGTTCTGAAAACAAAGGGTGACCCATCCTAACAGAAATGAGATTAGACTTTGGGCTTACATACCTGCCGGAAGATGAGAAATTCCAGAGGGGAAAATCTAAGGCAAGGCTGTAAGTCATGAGCTGTGTGCTCATGAAGCAGAGTCCATGAGAGACAGTGTGACTGCATGAACTACAGGAAGGCTAAATTGCAATCTCAGGTAAAAGCATGCTCTGGTGAGTGCATCCTTTAGGAAAAGAAAAGCTCGAATTGTCCATGGCTGTCAGTGCCATAACTAACACAGCTGTACAAAAACCTGGTCAAAAGTCAAGTCCATTTTTCTAAAAAGTGGGGGGGTTTTTGGGTTTTTTTGGGGTTTCTTTTGTTTTGTTTTTTTTTTTTTTTTAATATAGCAACAGTGCCAGCTTGACCTAAATTTTCATTTCCTCATTGTCTTTTTGGGCCCTCTTTTTTTCAGCCAGCTGGCCGGATAGCAGTCACTTCCATGGCAGCACCACAGCTTGCCTTTCATCAGCCATTTCCTAATGTAAGGCTTATGTTTTGGGTGCTGACAACAATCACTGCATTTACTGCTTTATTATTGAGACTATGGCTTATACATTGGTCTTTTTAAGTCCTAAGAATTCTGCAGTTTTTACTACTAGTCAATTTTCACACTCTTTATAAAGGAAGAAAAAGTGGTTGAACTTCTCAACAACATCAAGCAATATATTAACAGCTTCAGAAGGGATAGGTGATACAATTCCCTCACTTTTTTGTTCAGTCACACACAGAGGCTTTCAAGGTCATTACTAGCACTGGGGAGTACATCCTTTTCACCCAGGAATCAGGACAGTATGCAATACAAACCTAGGTAAATGATCATGCTTCTTGTAGGTAAAATGTACCCAAACAATGCAGTTGCATCCCATAAAGACTGCCGGGAACACTGATAATTTCACTTTCTTTGCTTTAAACTGCAAGTGGCAAGTAACTGTAAAATTTGCCATCCCTGTTAGAAGTAGACTTAAATTAGTAGGATGCAAGGAAGACATTATGTATCTTGGCAGTCAGATACTTCTACAATGTTTCTAGATTACAGTTACCCTCTGTCAAATCCATAACAAACAATGTTTTATGTCTTAACTAGAGCTGGTATAACTCGTGTCTTGCAAGAGTACTTGGCAAAGTTGTAACACTTTTGTTTATTACAGAGCATCTAAAACTAGAGGGAGCACTCTGATGCCACACACATGACCCTGTCACAAAATTAATTCCTATTCACCAAATGAATATGGAGATGACAAACGAGTTAAACTCTCTTCACTACTGTACAAGAACACAACACTCAGTCAGCTAAGGGAAAGTAAACAGTAAAGTGGAGCAGGACAGCCTTACATTTCAAGCTAGAGAAGGAGCAGATGACTAAGAACCAAGTATTTTAAGAATTCAGAACCAGCTTTCTAAGAACACTGGTTGGCATAAAGCTGGCATAAAACAAACTGTTCAGGATTCTGAGATTAAAATCACGTTATAGCAGCTCTCTACTTCAGTCATGGTGTTTATTAACACAACTGACCACAGATCTACCCACCAGCTTTTGTTAAAATAAAACTAGAACATTATAAACAGCAAAGTTTTCTGAAGCTCCCACTACACTACTTCTAATCACACCCTGTAGTATGCAGACAAGCTTCTCTCACACAAGCAGCGCCGCCCATTTTCAGTTATGTTGGCAATAAAATTAATTACAGGAAATTATACAACTGCTGTGTGCTCCTCTTCAAACCAATATTTAGAGTTGCCCCTGAAAAATCCAACTAGAAAACCATGAAAACCATTAAGAAAACCCATCTCCAAATATATCTTGCAGATTTTCTTTCCCCTGACATAAATGGTGCTTCATAAACCAGGTGTATAGCAGGTCAGTCCTTTGGATGGCTGAGTTAATCACAGGTAATTGGCTTCCTTGTGGTAAAAGGGACAACTGAACTGGGATAGCTAGGAAGACAGGCGTACCCAATAGAATATTTATTTCCCGAAGTTTACACTGGAAACCAAGTTTTATATTAACACCACCTCAGGAAACACTGGAAAATAAGGGTTAGGACTTAAAACACACTCACGTTTACACCTTTACCAGTGTTTGTGTTATAACAGTTTTGCATAGGTTTTCATATGCTTTGGCATAAAAGTAATTCAACCTCTCTCCCCCACTATTACTTTCTACTTGTTTCTAATAAATACTTTTATATCAAGAACAGAGGACTACTTAAAAAAACAAACTAAAATACTTAGTTGATGTGCTAAAAACCACACTGTACATATAAATGAGTAACAGTGTTTATTCATTGCTATAAAGTTGTTAGGACTCTGCAGGCATTAAAATCCAAAAGTGAAAGTACCCTAACTTTGGGAGGTGATAATCACCCAAAGGACACACCAAATTCCAGAACAGTTCAGGGTGTTCATTTTTTGAATACCAAGCCACCAACACTGAAAATTTTGTTCTGCACTGATATGGAAAAATTGCCTTGAGGGCAGCATCAAACCCTGCAAAGGATCCCTCACAGAAAAATAACTGAAGCAAAAAGCTTATTTGTTAGGGATAGGCAAATAAGGACACTGAGAGACTCACAGAAGCCCTCCTCTTCTGGCTTGGGGAATGAGAGTCATTGCTCCCTAGCACCTTTCCAAGCATAGGAAGGTGGAGCAGTAATTCCAAAGGGCAGAGAGACAAGTTGTAGATAACACATTTCACCACAAACCCACAAAAATGAATAGAAGGGAGCAGTACTACACTGAATGCCTACGCAAGCACAGACACCACAGACAGATCCATCCTGTTCCTAAGGATCAATATAAGAGATAAAAACCCTCCACTATTGTCTCGATTAGCTTTTGTCCATCCACTGTCTCTCACTCATTCTACTTGCTGGCTACTCCAGGCTGAAGCCTGGTAGATGATCATGCACAAATCCCATAGACATTCACAAGACAGAGGAATAGGAAGAGAAAAAGGACTTTTGAAAAGAGTTTCATAGGTAAAGCCATGGTAATAGGGCAACACGGCCTCACCACGCAAATGTACCCAGCCTGCTTTAAAATGTAACTGTCCCCTTTTATCCCTTTCTCTCCTCATATTCCTTCCTCCCCACTTCACTTGGATCATTTTCCACTTCTGATTCTTGCCTTAAGTAACTGATATCAGACCTGTACAATCTCAAAATTCTGTTACTCCGTCCCCAGTGACACTCTAATACATCTTATGCACCTTTTTCAACAGTCACCCCTCCCTAGTTTGTCTGTCATTCCAAAGAGTTTCTTCCAGTGAATCACCTCAGCAGGTTTTGCAACAAGGATAATGGCTTCACTGGTCAACTTTGCTAGCTTTAGGAGCAGCTTAACAGATTAAGTGGCCTAGTTTTCCACCTTATGGCTATTCCTCTGGTCATTATGGGACTATCTAATTATCCAGTTATCACAGTTACCAGATATCATTACACATAGCTCAAAAAGCAACAAGCTTTTGAGACAACTTAGTTACTATTTCACCAACATTTTACTTTGTTATTGTATTATAACGCCCTATTTTTATTTAAAAACATTTAAACATGATTTAACAAATAAGCAAGATTAAACACATATTTTCAATGTAATGTAGTCATTGAAAAATAAGAGGCCAGAAGAAAAACTTCATGACTGCTTAATGTAGCTGCAAATTATATCAAACTGTTAAAACAGCTGCAGGTGAGGGCAAGGCTTCTCTTTCCCACTACAGTACAACCCATTTTTCTCCCACTCCTAGATCCAAAATTTTGGCCATCTTGCCCTATTCATTCCAGCACTTGTTCTTGTATCTTGCTAACACATTTTAATGAGTCCTGAGATATTACACTTGGTTTTACACCCTCTTTATTACACTTGCTCTCATATTTCTAGTACATAAAAATTGCTGCTATGTCTATTTTACAAGGAATTGGAGACACCATAACTTCTTTGAAATTAGCTTTTCAAAGATACCACACATCACTTGAAGCAAGTGCAGTGGGAGTTGTATTATCCATATTTAATAAGTAACACAAGCCAGCAAAACCAGACTAACAGAGAAAAGCCAGATTTGTGTTTCTTACCCTAGATGTATGTTCTAAGATGACATCTTATTTTACTAAGGGAAAATTTTCAGGCACAGAGGATTCTGAGGAGGAAAAAGATGCACAGTAATATTGGTGAAAGCAACAGAGAAAGAGTGAAAAAGAGAGGGACTCTCCATCTTTACCACACACACTTCTAAAAACCAGGAGAGGAAGCCAGCTTTTGCCTGAAGAATCCCAGATACTTTCAGTTTATTTTGTTTTGCTGAAGACTGAAGAGTTCCATTGCCCAGCATTTATTAAATGTAAATGTTAAGATTCAACAAATATGCCTACATTGGCAAAGTTCAGATTCCTGGTTTGTGCTGGTGCATTAACAACAGTAAGAGTGCAGACCATAAGCTAGTAGCAGTATAAAAGATACTTTTGGCATGTCTAATGATATATGGCCTTTAAGGTCTTTTTACCTATGATCCCATAAAAGGACAGAATAAAATGCTATGATTTTATGATTGGTTCCAACATTTTCACATTATTTTTAAATAAGGCACTATTTCTTTCAGAATTAAAAAGTGATTTGCAGTGCTTTATATAGAATCAAAGGCTAGGCATTCATTTAAATAGCCAAATGCTTTCTTCTCTGCTTTTCTAGTGTGCTCTTACATAGCAACTATATTCAATAATAAAAAAGGCTCCGTTCTGCTGAGAATTTAAATATCACACAGTAATTGCATGTCAAAAAATGGGTTTATGTTAGCATTTACTAACAATATCATCCAGAAACTACGTCTATACTGTGGTGATTCTATTTAATTATAGCCAACCACAGGCTACTAATTTGCTAAGTTATTTATAGGTTTTCTTATCTTTTTTTATTGCATGGCTTTATTTGCTTTTCCCCCTTTTCCCAACAGTCACATCTTCATTCACATTCATTTCAGACAATTCTGCAAGGAACACATAAGTACTGCCGGTGTCAGGGACCTCAGCATAACCCTTAAGAATCTACATTCTTTCCTTTCTTTTTTTCAAACCCTTGCAAATTAAGCACTTCAACTATAAAGTCACAGAAGAACTCTAATATGGCACCAAAAAATATACAAGCCAGAAGAGGAATTAAAACTTATTTCTAATTCTCAATTAAAAATTAATCTGCAATATTTCTAAGTAAATTGTAATAATATACTATACTTTTAAATTAAGACAGAGTAGTTCTAAATTGTAATATAAACCAGATATTTAAATCAAGGATCTTTTCTGAGTCTAGAATATTCATATAAAGTGCAGAAAAAATAACCCAGAGAGCTGAAGTTGTTACATAAAAAAAATTTCCTCTCTAGATTCTCTGGACTAGATTGCTTAGCTCTCCTTTATAAAACTGCTTAACATAGAGAATTCTGTTCTGCTTCTGATTATTGCTTGCATTTTCAGCAGTAATAAGAGAAAGAGGACATTCTTCAGAAAATTCTCAGGTTTCATGTCAAGGATCTGCAAATAGTTTTAATGGGATGCCACTTTCAAGCTTTTATGTAATTAATGTTTTACAGTTTGGAAACTACTGTTCTAGAGAAACTGTCCAAAGTGAAAAATCAGTACAAGACCTCTTCCATCTCCAATTCCAACAGATTTTAAACACAGAAAGTCTCTGATGGAATTTTCAGCAATGCAAGTTCAAAGGGAAAGATTTTCTACACCTTTGTTTCAATAAGAAATTGTAAGTAACATCTGAGTAATTTCTTACACACACTTGAATATTACATTGTTAAACACTTTTCCTAACTTAATCTATTCTTTTAAGTCTAGGCACATCATGCATCTTGATTTGACAAAGACACAGGGATGTCGTGGCTGTTACAGTGGTCCCCATTTCTGCAGTTCCAAAGCATCAGGACTGTCTAAAGAGACTTTAGGCATTTACTGCCACCACAGTTAGGGGCACACGTGGTGCAGCATTATATTGCTCTTCTCAGACCCTACGCAATCTTGGAAATCATGATTAAAACTTATATGGACATATCCACAGAAAGCATAAAATCATGAGTGAAGAGAAGGGTAAATTTTTTTTTTCTTGCTGAACTGTAGCTGGACATACTTAGAAAGACAACTGCAAAAGGACACAAAATTGAAAAGAGTAGGATAGAATTATGAAGTGCTAACACTCTTCTACCACTTACTTTACCTGTAAAAACAGAAGAGTGATTTTAAACCAATAATCAGTTGCACCCTTTACATAAGATTGCTACACATTATATAGTTACATAACAAAGTAGTTAATGCTACATTACCGGAACATAATAAAGTGTTTAGATATGAAGAAATTACTGTAAAAATAACAAAGTGTGCATTGTGAATAGCTACCAAAATCAGAATGAATGGTATATACTGTTTCTCTGAATAAATTCTGAATAATCATGAAAACTTTAAACTGATCCTGAAAAGCTCCAATGATTACACTAATTACCTCTAATATTGAAATTATAGACATAAAAATGTGCCTTTTTTTTCTTCCAGCTACAAGAAAATGAAAGTCCAAATTTGTAGTCCATATGTCTGAAATGTGTACATATGTTTACATCATGTCCCACATGTCTATGAACATGGGCTTGCACATACCTGCAAATAAGAGAATACAATGCACAAAGACTGGAGCAGTTCTTTATTCAAATCCATCCTTGCTTGACAAACTGCATCATACAAAACTCTGGTTAGCAATAATTTCAATAGCCAATATGATTTTAAATGTTTTGCCTGCATATACTTATGAAACCCTAAATAGATGGGTCTTTATGTGAGTAGTTACCCTAGGGAACAGTCTTTCAGGAAATACATTCTCCTGGCTTACCTGTAGTTTTATCTGGCAAAAAAGATACCAACCAAGTTATCTTACCTACCCTACCAAGGCTTAGAGAGGCCTGTATCTGATGAAGCACTACTAAGAAGGAAAGTGAAGTTCTTAAGAGAATGCCCTTTCCAAGCTGTTACACTTCAGATTTTGCTTTTCTGCAAAAACAGAAGTTGAGCTCGAACTTCTCTTCCTCTCATTTTCACTTGGTGACAGAGGGAGGCCAGACAGCATCTGCACTCAACTTTTCAGTGGGCAAACTGATTTAGTCACTATAAAATGAGGTTAAAGCAGGAGGGGAGAAAAAAATTTCCAAGTGGTATTCTAAAATTCAGTACTGCCATCTTACTCTCATATAAAGTACAGCTCTATTCATTCTGCCACTCCAAGTTAGCTACTAAAACACTGTGCAAAACAATAAATTCATGCTACATAACTTACAGATTTTCCAAACTAGTAAACTGCATGAAAATGGCTAAAAGTAAAGGCAGTTCAGCGCTTACATAACAGTTTTATAAGACCGGAAGTCAAAGCTTCATTAACAACAACAACCAAAAAAAAAGTTGCAGTCTAAAAAATTACCTTTGACCACAGTAGAAATCCAGTGGAAAGCCCCTAAAAATTTATAGATAAAATAGTCAAACATTATTATATTTAAACACTAACTTCCTCCAGTTAATTTATTGCCAGGTACACTGACTTCTAAACATTTTAAATGAAAATTGAGGAACACAGAGCAATCCCCCAAAGAAAATATGTACATGCTACTGAACTGTAGAAACACAGCATAGTGAGATATAAGCTCAGTTATTATACTCACTGTACTTCCTTTTTCTTTAAAACTTACAGCTTACTACATTTATGAGAAGCATACAAGAGACAGCTTCAGATTTAATCACACTCAAGTTCAAAACCATTCAATGCACCAAGGACCATAAAACCATAACTCTATTTGCTACTGTTTTGCCTAATAGTTACTCCTTGTTTCTTTACCTTTAGCTATAAAGGCTAATAGAAAGAACAAAACTCCAAACAATAACCAACCAAAAAAGGGGCTAAACATTCAGAGGGCTAATATTATTCAAATGTTATTTAGAAATTTGTCACTTCCCAGTACACCTACTGCCTGCTCCATTCCTCATCAATTTCTCCAGCTATAACAGGAAAATTCTCACTAGTTGAAATCTACTATTCTGAAAGTTTATAGCCCTTGATGGTTGTTACGGGAATAAATTTTTAAAAAACCTCAAAAATACTGTTAAAAGCTGGCTTAATGTTTTATGAGGAAGAAACATTGGTAATCATGTTACAAAGTAGAAAATAAATAAATGGAAGAGAGTTTTGTGAGAAAAACATTCTAAGGCATAATTTGATTAAATGTTACTGTTCTTCAAGAAAATATTGTACCAAAAAAAACCCAAAAACCAAACAACAAACGTAACAAGCAACAAATTCAACGTAACAATAGTGATGCCAAATAGCACAGTCTTCAGTGGATTTCATTACACACTAATACATGGCTGAATCATGAAAGTATTAATACGGTATCCTCTTGCCACAGATGAGTTCTCCTGCAGATTTTCATCTGATTAGATACAGAAAACAGATTCCTTTTAACAGCTACAGTTTCTGGTGATTTCTTGAAGAAACTAAAGAGAAGAAACCAAAGAGAAGAAACCTAAGAAAAACAGGTCATGTATTATAAATTCCGTTCCTCCACCTGTGTGGAAGGAGACCATTCACATCTTAAAACCATATTTAATGAAGGTATATGGTAGACACATTGCATACAATGAAAATGTATTGGCAGTTAACATAAATATCAGGAACCATTTTCTAACATTCAGATCCTGGAATAATTTTGTGTACCTTCCTGCTCCAAGACAGTCAAAGAATGAAAACCATAACATGCAAGACCATACACACTATCTAGTGAGCAAGAATAACCATATTCCAACATCTCTAACTGCATTACAGTCACATTATTTACAGACTTTTACAGTCATGGTGACACAGACAAACTCCTGCTGAACTAACTAAACTTAGATGCTGAGAACAGGCTAAGCAGCAGCATGACAGGAGACCTTGCCCAGAAGGTAGGTTGAACAAGCCTGTGCTGAGGTTTATGCACATGAAAGAAGACTGGTAAACTCCCTTACACTGCTATAACCTAGTCTGAAGTACCATTTGTTTGAGAACATTAGAACAGAGAAAGTCCCACATACATCAGTCAGAAGGGATTTTGCCAGGAACTTCACTCATGCCCACATTTCGTGCTACCTGTATTTGCATACCAAATTTTCAAAACAAACAAACCCACCCACAACTTATTTTGCTTTGCTTGCATGTGCAGCTTTTCCTTTAGCTAATAAATTCGCTATCTTGACCCACACTTTTAACCCTTCTGAATCATTTCTCCATTGCAGTGTGGGGGAGTGAGTGAGCAGCTGTGTGGGTCTTAGCTGCCTACTGAGCTTAACTCAGCACAAATAAGTAAAATTTACTGCCATACAATGTTAAACAGTTTAGTAATTCTAAACACAGGCATTCCACAGCTGCCATCAGAACTTAATGGGGAAAAAAACCACCACACGCTAGCTCAACATAAGCAAGCCTGTGTCTCTGAATGTTTTTACTGAGAACTCCAGTCTTGAGTGCTGCAAGTGCCTCACTACCATCTTTCTAATGGAGAAACCCCGACGTACACAGAATAGGATTTAAAACGAAGACACATTCCCTTTTAAAGTGTTGTAAAAGCACTTCCAAAATGCACTAACCTAGGTCCTCTCTTCAGTATTTCCCTAACAGACTAACAATAAGAGTCTACATTTGGTTATACAAAAGCAAAACACGTCAGAATTTGTGTCAATACACAACTGGAGCAAAACTCTACAAGCAGGTCTGTGGACAAATACATCAGCAAACAAAAGGTGTCTGAATAGTGTATTTTGCATAGCTGCAATGCAAGATTGTAAAACAAATCTAATCACCTTGGATATTTTTTCACCACAAAAATGCTGGGAATTCATAACAGAAGGAATACCTGGGACTTCAAGATACTTGGGAATGCCTCGGCTAAATGAAATATGCTTCGCTGGCAAGAATAGGGTGAACAAGTTTAGACTTGACCCAGCTTTGCACTGGTGGTTGGACTAGATCACCTACAGAGGTGCCTTAATCAGCATCTTAGGTCCCTTCATAGTCTATCCTGTTATCCTATAAAACTTGGATACAAAGTTAGAATAAAGCTTTTATTAAATTAACGGCATATTTTAACTGATACGTACCATTGATTTACAGAAAAATTTCTCTTAAAGAAGCTGTTTTTGTGAAGTTGTCATTAGCTTAATCAAAAGTTTTTAAAAGGACAACTCAAATGCCAGTGGAATCAAAATTATCACAAGTGAGAGAAAAACACATATAAGAGATCCAAACCAAGTGAACAACACAGCTCTGCCATACAAGAAAGGCAGTTGAAGGGTTATGTTTTAGATCACAAAACGACCTGGAACCTACACTGCAATTACTTACAGTATTTTAAATGTAATAGGTAAAAATCCAAACCACCTACTACTCTATTGCCTTAAATTTGATCACCTAGACATCTGTACCATCAATTCACCTTAAATAGTAAGACTGCTTAGAATGCAATTCCTTTTATGCCACTGACACTTCTAAAGCTGGTCCTTCTGTATCCATAGCACCAGTACATAAAAAATTCTGATGTCATCTGCATTCCACCAAGGGTGGAGGCAGACAAACACTTTCTCAAAATGATTTCCACATTCATAAAACCAAAACATCCTGTTTCTATAAATGGAATTGACAAGCAATCCATTCTAGGATAGATCCTCAGGAAGGAATGCTTAATTATAAAGCAATTTTACCTGTATTTGATTTAAAACCTTCCTCAGTATTATGCATACCCTTCATTTTTATGTTCCTAATTCATATTGCAAAATACAAAAGGAGATGCAAGTGAAAAATTATCACAAGAAGAAAAGTCCTCTTTAATATCTTTAAAAAGACAGTCATAAGCTAGGATTTGTACACTATTGAAACATATATTCTACAACCTCATGCAAATATACTATCTACTAGAAGAGATTTTTTATTTGCTCACACCAGAAATCAGTCATTTTTATGTGGTTGTAGAATGTTAATCCAATATCTACCCAGAGAAAATTAACAATACCCTCAAGGAAATCATTAAGTGTCTCATACAAGAAATTAGTTTTATTTCTTCACAACTCAGCATCAGCCAGGATTTTCGAGACTTTCCTCCCTAGAATACAAAGACATTGCTGATAAAATCTGTGAGTGATTGCTGGTAATGGTGTTATAAGTAACAGCAAGGCCAAGTTATAGATGCACAGGGACCTGGAGTACATGGTAGGTCAGACACAATCAAGGTCATATTTAACTCTGTCATACGAAAATGTAAAAATACAACAAGGAAGAATGTGATCATAGAATCACAGTCTTGGCAAGTGATAGCATAAGCCTGGAACAATGACAATCATGAGCTCCCACCAAGTCTAAGGCGCAAGCTACTAAAATGAGAGTTGGGTGCATTAACAGTGACTATTGAGAAATAAGCTGAACACACATTACCCCAAGAACGGTATTTACAAAGCAACTCACAAATTGCTATGTCCAGTTGTTAATAACAAAATAGAAGGCAATAAAACTGTTAAAGCACCCAAAAACCTGTAAGGTTTTGTGAAACTGCAAGATTTGGGATCTGAAATCATATTTCACAGCAGAACACCAAAGGTTCATCTGTTTAGGACTGTCTAAGAAACCCTTGTTTAGTACAGCAATGTAAGATGGGAGTAGCCTCAATTGTCCCCCACTGCTTTGAGGGGGTTTCCACCCCAAGAACAGGCACAGCAAGCGAAATCACATGCCAGCTCCTTAATGCTACAATTCAAAGCCAGTCCCAGTAATTTAAATCCATCATCATCACCATTTAGGTCACCACTCTATTTACACGGACAGCAGCTTTCAGCAGGAAGCTAGATGGACAACTGCAGTGGGATCCTAAATTACTGTAAATGGAATTATCCCTCATTAATCAAATACCTAAGTTTATTAAATTCAAAAATAAAAAATAATGTATAAACAACTGCAGAGGAGTAAAAGCCTGCTACAGCATATTGGCTGATCTAGGGAAGAAAAAGAGAATAAATGACCAGAACTTGAAGCTAAAATACAAAATTGCTGTGTAATCTCTTTTATTTGTTTCCAAAAGAAATATATAATCAATCATACTATTATCACTGGCATACTTTAAAATTGAGACAGTAGACATGAGCCATAGATTTCTGATCTAGATACACAGACTCAGCCAGGAAAACTGATGGCCAGCATTAGGCAGAGGGACAAACTGTATCAAAACAAAAGTCTCTTTTATAAAGACAAATCAATTGCATCAACATGTTTCAGCAAGGATAGTCCACTAGCATCAGAATGTAAACAGCAGTACAAAAATAAGGCAAGACATCTGGTAAAGAAAACAGGACTGACTAAATACTCTTGTGAGTATTAGAGAAATTCCTCTAAAAGCAAGCAGCTTCTGTTAATCAAGCAAAAAACCCTGGCAGCATACTACCTTTTTTTCTTTTTTGCAAGACTTCTTCCCAATGATTTATTTACACTCTTCCACAGGAAAAACAAAATTGTTATGTTCACATAGCCTTAATTTAATAACTTAATCATAATAATTACCAATAAAGTAATATATTCCTCCCTATGTTCTGGTTTTTTTTCCACACATATTCATTGGGTTATCCTCATGCTATCACTATTTCATGCACCAAGGAAGGGTTTAGAAACATATGAAAAAGTAGAACTCTATCATGCATAAAGTGGAGCAGGTAAAATATTTTTTTATATATGATATACTCAATATATTTAGCACACATGATGACATAATGGAAATGCACTAAGACTAAGCACAAGCAATACTTGCTTCTTTCCAAGCTGAATTAATTACAAGCAGAAGAACACCTTCTGACTGTAAATAATTTTATTTCTATGATGAGAGCATTGAAAAACAACATAGTTTTGTTAAAAGATAAAGAAGAAAAAAATTTGGACTAATTCCTTCAAACACTGTTAACCAAGAATGTAATTTATCTTCAATAAGTACCTTAATAAAAATAAATTTCAAAAATAGCAAACATTTTATAAGACTATTTGGCTAAAAGCTACAAGCAAGAAATGTAACCAGCATATAGTACATAGCCATCAAAACACAAACAAAAGAATCTGTTTCATAGGGACACCTGTACTTAGGAAAACTTAGGCAAGGTTTCTGCTTAGTCCAGTAAACAAAATTCAAGCTTTCTGCAGACTGAGCACAGGTATTCTACAGAAGCTGATCTGGAATTACTCTTTTTCATAAATTTTTTAGAACAAGAGGATTTGTATTTTAGAAACTGTAATTCTGGAGGTAAATAGCTCTCCGAGATGCCTGTGCTTTACTCCCTCCATACCAATACCATGATTTATTTCTTCATTTTAGAGCCTTAGCACCAATAACGAAATCTGATAATTGTCTCTGAGAAGGTATTCACTAGACCAATCATCTCAAATTTGTGTGATCACAAATTAGATCAGAACTCATTTTATTTTGGCCATATTTCTAGATTACTGTGTTAATAACACCTTACACTGCAAAGCTAGAACACAAAAAACCCGATACTGATTTCCTGGATGATTTAAAAATGAGGGTTCTGTGGATGTTTATGAGCTATGTCCAGAAAAACTCTGATTCTCATGAAGAATTTATCCATATTGACTTCACACACACACAAAAAAAGTTTTTAAAAAGCGGTTGTTTAATTAATTCCATTCCTGAAAACTTTACTTTCTTGCAGCACCATGTATTATTCCTATTTAGTCTGATAAAAAAATTGGGGAAAAGCCAACAGATTTGTGAAGCACATGGAGGGAAGCAACCACCAGCCTTTTTTGCAAGTTTTCAGACCTTTTATTGGTATTAGCTCTTTTCAGATTTAAATAGCCTATTCACTCTTCTCCTGACTATTTCAAACTCCTGGTTTAAAACTCCATCCAAAGTATTTAGAAATCACTCCAAAACTTTCACTTATAATAAGCATACATTCACATCTAGTAACTGGTATATTTGTTTCATGGGGAAGGGCAGTGTAAGGGTTGGGGTGGATTTTTTTTCCCTTTTAAAGGTAAACCCTGCAACACTGGATAGAAGCACAAGGAGACTTCACAGACTCCTTCTATTGCCTACATGTACATTGTCAACTGCAATGTTTGAGTTTCACTGTTCCCACAGCAATACCCTGATTTATTTCTTCATTTTAGAGCCTTTCCCTGTAGAGGCTAAACCTCACAGTCTCTTACTTCCCTCTAAAAAGTACTTGTAGAAAAGCCTCTTTTTCTTCAGGCTACCAATGCTTCATAGATAAACATGGCTTAAATTTTTCTGATAAATGGGATGCTGGTGGGATTCCACAGCCACATCTCCCACAGCTCTACATTTCAGTGCATAGCTAAAATGCTTCAGTGAGACTACCAATTACTGCAGTTCTGTTACTGCCGCACAGAACTGCTCAACACCAAACGGAGCTATGAGATTCCAGAAGCCATTTTTAGCCCAGGGCACTAGGCCAAAAATAACCTTTTCAGTTCTCTAGGAAGCCAAATGTACAAAGATATGAAAACTGGCAGAAGGAGTAAAGGACTTCTTGCCAAAATACTGATTTTTTTTTTTTATTGTGCAAAGTTACTACTCTTTCATATTAACTGATTCTTAACTGATTGCAAATCTACAGTGATTCTCTTTTTAAGACTATTTCTGAGTTGTGTGTCTGTGCCAGATGCTACTATAAAGTGAGTTTCTGCATTGTGTTAATACATTTAAAACCACTCCCAGGACTTAAGACCTTAATGGAAGCTTTAAGTCTTTACTGCTATCTCAACATCTTCCAGAACAAAACTAATTCAATTCAACATTCATTCTTCAAGATACCATACACTGACATTTAAAAAAACATACAAAAAGAAACCCCAAAAAATACCAGAGAACCAAAGTTGGATTCCATTCACAGTGTTGTGCCTGATCTGTTCTGAGATATAGATTAAGCCATTCAAAATTCCTGCTTCTCAGCTTTTCCATTCTATATAACCAGGATAACCTACATCATTATAGAACAATAAAATAATTCACTGAGCAAAGTTTGCACAGTAATTCTTTAATGCAAACATAGACCAAGATCTATGCGAGGAACAACAAAGCAGAAATCTTAAAGTCATTATATTAATGACTTAAAGACTTAAGCTCTTAAAGTAATTACATTAACAATCAATATAATTACATAAAAGGCTTTCAAATTACAAGAAATTCAAAAGACTACTTTCACCACCCTTAGAAGTTCCTGACTGGTTGGCTGAATGTCAAAGTCACACACAGCACATTTCAACAGAGCAGTAACAGCAGCAATACCATGATACAAAAGTGTCTCATGGTCTACACCATGACAGTGTCTGTCTTATCTCTAAATTCCCTTACAAAATGTTAGCAAATTGAAGATACTGGTTATTTTAAATTAAATTATATTTTCTTTCCAATCATAAGACCAACACCACTTGCATGAAAGATTTTTTGTGGAGAATCTGCCAGATTACCTTCACTTTTTATGGTGAATTTGAGACAGCACATGGGAGAAAAAAAAAAAAAAAGAAAGTAGTTCTGAAGACGGGGGAGAAACTTTCCAATTTCTTTACTGAAAAAACAAGTTAAGACTCTGCAGCCTTTTTTGTCTCCCCCAAATAAAACCTCAGAAAAATAACATATGAAATGACACATTGCCAAATTAACATAATAGTTTTCCATACCATTTGAAAGTTCAGATAGAAAATGGAAACATCCATTATAATATGGCTACAATTCAATTTTAATTTCTGCACATTATGACTAAGAAGCTACATCATTGTATTGATGCTGCATGGTACTGATGGGTCTGAAAACAAGACAAAGTATGGAAACATTTCATGGATGGCACAAGGATATTCTTGGTTGTACATCTTCCTTCAAGCACACTAGTAAGCAGGGGAAAATAAAATACCACGTCTAGCAAACCTTGCAAGTGACAGGACGTGTGAGCGAGGAAAAAACCAAGTCAGTAACACAAGACAATCTGAACGGCTGCTAAGTGGAACACAAGCAAGGATAGGCATTCAGCCAGACTAGAATTCAAACCTTGGAAAGGGGATCACAGACAAAACTCAACGAGTAGGGAATCTACGCTGTACAAAGTGGAAGGCAAAAGGACAGTTTTCTTGAACTGGGATGAACTCAAAAAGCAACAACAAAACAAGCAAACAAGAAGCCCTAGCAACACAACAAAATGAGCATAGGAAATCTCGGGTTAAGTTGTTCCACTTGATCAATCACAGCTGTATTTAGCAACCAGGGCATCCTTGTCTTGCCCCAACTGCTGAGAAAGCTCCTTTCAGCTCTGACCAGACACCCATTCCAGAAATCTTCATAACTGTCTGCATTTTTTTAATTATATAACATATGAATGACACTATGTTCTTCCTTCTTCCCCACTGAATAGACAGACAGTTTTGTTGATAATGCCCTCGCCCTGCCTTAAAAAGACTGAATTGAATGAATTCAGCTAAGCCCCACTATTCTCAAAATACAGTAATATTCCAGCAGCAATGGTACTACCTGTCTATAGTTCAATAAGCCCTATTTCTCCTGCCATTAGGTTTTTAAATAGTTAAAAGTTCAAATAGTAAAAAAAGCCATTT